AAACCATTCAGTGTCCTCTGGATGCCTCAACTAGCCCCACTCCCACCCGTCACTGAGAAATCCGGGGCTGTATTTATCAGGGAGACCTCGCCTATGGTCCCTCGCTCTGTTCCAGCATTGCCAACCAGGATCTTTTTCTCTAGCTGATGTGCGCCTTGATCCAGACACTGCTTATTCCCGCCTCATCGTGTCTGAAGACAGAAAGTGTGTGCGCTATGGAGACACCAACCAGAAACTGCCCGACAATCCTGAGAGATTCTACCGCTATAACATCGTCCTGGGCAGCCAGTGCATCTCCTCAGGCCGGCACTACTGGGAGGTGGAGGTGGGAGACAGGTCTGAATGGGGCCTGGGAGTGTGTAAGGAAGATGTCGACCGGAAGGAGGTGGTCTATTTATCCCCCAACTATGGCTTCTGGGTGATAAGGCTGAGGAAGGGCAATGAGTACCGGGCAGGCACTGATGAATACCCCCTCCTGCCCTTGCCAGTCCCTCCTCGGCGGGTGGGTGTCTTCCTGGATTATGAGGCCCAGGACATCTCCTTCTACAACGTGACCGACAATGGCTCCCACATTTTCACTTTCCCCCACCACCCCTTTCCTGGGCGCCTCCTGCCCTACTTTAGTCCTTGCTACAGCATTGGTGCCAACAACACCGCCCCTCTGGCCATCTGCTCCCTGGAAGGAGAGGACTGAGACCCACCATCCAGCCAGAGGCCACGGAATTTCACCTTGGCCCCAGGGGTCTTACAGGGCCCTGCCCCTGACAAGGGTTCCCTGAAACTGAGTTGAGCCTAGAATTTGGGATTCCTCTGCCTGGCCCCGTGGTCTGCTGCTCCTCAGCCCGCACCTCTCTCTAAACCACTCATGTGAAGGAGGTGAGGCTTAGTCACATGAGCATTGTCCCTGTGAGGGAAGCGTGACAGGGCTGACGGTGAAGATCCCAGTGACTCTCACAAGGAGGGCTTGTCCTTTCTGTAGCTCAGGCCCCTCTTTTTCAGTCCCTGTTGGTGCCATAACTAAGTCACGAAGGACGATGAAGTAGACCAACCTCCTAGAAACCTGTTGGCAAAGAATCCTGCTCACATCCAGAGCTGGCTGTTCTGCTGAGGCCAGTCGGGGGAGGCCTCCCCTAGGTTTGCTGCCGATGAGCAAATGTTTGAGCCCTGCTCTCCGACCTGCAAACTAGAGGCATTCATTGCAGATTGTCCAGACCACTCCCGTGGCCATCCCTCAGCACGAGCTGGGCACACCACTGTCTCAGACTCTAGGGAGACCTGTGTCCTGGCCCTGCCCTTCTCTCTGAGTGACAGGATTAGAAAACCTGTGAGCCCTGTTTTTAGTTTCACTTTATGGATGAGAAAACTGAGAAGGCCTTAGTAGAGCAAGTTATATCTCACAGAGCTGTTGAAAGAAGATTGTAGAGATTATAACGTATTTCTCACATTCGAATGAAACGAGATTGGCAAGACTCGCTTCTCAGGTCACATGTCTGCATGTCATTCATTACATTTGGGTCTGAAACTTCCCACCCGATTGAAAGATTTTTCAGCCTCTGGAAAAATGGGTGGAGTGGCTGTATACTCTCCTACCTCACAGGGTTGTTGTGAGGATCTCAGATCCATCCCATATTTGTGTTCCTTTCTCAGGGACAGAGGAAGGCAAGTTGAGAATATTGCCCATGTTACCTTCCTATCACATTCTCAGCCAGCATCTGACAGCAGGGCCTCTGTCTCAGGACCTCTCCTCACAGTCTAGAGCCCTTTAGACAGAACATGGCCCTACCAGGGCAAACTCTGGGCTACTGTAATATACTGTGTATCTGTTGTACGTTTGTCTTGTTTGGATTAGAATTGGGACTGTGACTGCAGGATAGAGACAAGATAATTTAAAATGAAAAACAAAATGCCCAGGAAAAAGACTCACTCGCCCACAAGCTAGTTGAGCTAAAGTTTAGATCTTTTTGTGTCACAAAGGGAGTCTGAATCGTTCTGGTAACTACATAATATTCTCCCTGCCTTTGTCTTCTCTAAATCTGTGGCAGAAGGAGAAATAGGAGGCAGTGTGAGGGAAAGAGTAGGACTAGGCACAGAAAGCCAGTTTGGGAGCTGTATATATAGTGAAGGGGAACTTAAGACTGTGTATCTGTGCTATTGACACATGAGTGATTGCTGTGTGTGGCAAAAGTAACTCACTGCAGGCCTTTAGAGTGTGATGTGGGAAGGTTGTGTCTAGAAATGAACTGCAAGACTAGCATGATGAAGAATTCATGGCTTTGCCTATTGCGAGGGGCTGCAACATATACATCACATATCGTCACCATGACTCAAGACACACCTTCTGATGTACTTTAGACGTGAAGGTAGTGATGTTGGGGTAGGAATGAGCAGCAAAGAAGATACTAGGTGGTGTATGGACAGAGGCAAAGTTACTCCTGTAATAAATAATAGCAAAAACTGTCTTTCTACTTGAATTGTTAATAAATGAAAGAGGTAAAAAAGGCCAAAATGGAGAAATAAACTCATTCTGCCCACCACGCTTCCAAGTCACTTCTTAAGCATTAGCAGAAGGGGAATGGACTAGTAAGCCACCCGACCTGGTCTTGGCAAAGTGCTGAGCTGACCTAAAGTAGAGGGGCTCTGTGTCTTTTTGTGGGGGAGACTCAAAGTGGTCCAGAAGGGGAAGCGGCAGGTAGGCAAGTAGCCATGTGGAGGGTAGAGTGCCTGGGGAATTGTTTACAGACTTGAGAAATAGATCTGTAGGAAGTGCTTCCCACTAGATGTCCATAGACACTTAGCAAAAGAGGCTAGGGAAAAGTCAATATTGTTCTTTTACTGTTTTATTAGGACAATCCTTGGAAGGGTCAGAGAAAAGTTGATCAATTCATTCAAACCTAGAATGAACTAAGGAGTGGGATGGCTTAATTTGTTATGTACTATTTGGGGGCGTTGGGTTTTTGTTTTTGTTTTTGTTTTTTTCATTTATAAGCTGATTTTGGAGCTATGATTGCTTGTTAGAAGAATTACAGGTTAAATGATGTCATGCCGTTTATTTCATATTTTCTGATTATTAAGACCAGGCAAGAAGATTGGAGTTTTTAAGCATATGAAAACCCTTTTCTTTAGGGTATTGATGTGCACTTACCTTCTAAGAACCCCATGAAGACAAGACCTTATTTGTCTGATTCACCATTGTACCCTCCATGTAGCAGTGTGTGTGTGTGTGTGTGTGTGTGTGTGTGTGTGTGTGTGTGTTTTGATAAACAAGTGAGGGAACTTTCAATCTTATTCCTAGAATCAAAGCAAAAATAAGCTCCCCTTGCCTCAAAGGGGCATGAAAAACTAGATGATATTTAGTTTTAATCTTATTCAAAAACTAATTTGATGAATAATTATAAAAGTGTTCTGGAAGGGGAAGAGGCAGATAGCCATGTGGAGGGTAGAGTGCCTGCATATCCCCTGAAAGTGTCTACCCTGGCACCTCCAATTTGATGTGATAATTCACCACAAGGCAGGGTTCAGGCATGAGATTTGCCTATTTTTGTTTTACTGACAGAAACCAAGGGGTGCAGTGCCTGAGCCTTGAAGGGAAAGGCTACTAAAAGGGCGAAGTGCTTGAGTTCTGCAAAAGGAAGAGACAGAGGGCAAATCGGGTTTACAACTCACAGGAAATTTAGTCTACCTTTTTTCAAGCAGGATTGGTTGTACTGTCTTAAAAGCAAACATTGAGAGTCTGCTGTGAATCACAGGCACCAGTTAAATGAGCACACACTGCTTCATGTGATAGGGTAGGAGTTGTAACTGAATGTATTGGGGAAAGCACGGGATTTTCTGTTGGGGGAATAGCCATGGAAGGGAACCAGTCCACTTTGGAAAGGATATAGTTCAATAAAGAGTTGAGTGCCAACAGTGGATCCCAGTTTCAGGGAATACTAACGTGAATGAAACAAAGCTGCAGGGTAGGCTTCTAAAGGAAATGCTATGAAGACATTTCTGGTTTGGGTGCAAGCTAGACTGTGCCTTTGTTGCTTTCTATCAGATACAGTCAATTCTTTGGTTTTCTTATGAAGAAAGAATAGTGTGACTTTTCAAAATAGAAATCTTATCAAATATGCTTAACCACCTCATCTTGATTTGTTTTTATATTACGGGGTTGCAAGAGGAGGAGAATTTCTTTTTACTACTCTGGGAGCTCAATGCATCATCAGATTTTTAAAATATATTTTATTGATTTTTTTTTAACAGAGAGGAAGGGAGAGGGATAGAGAGTTAGAAACATTGATGAGAGAGAAACATCGATCAGCTGCCTCCTGCACACCCCCTACTGGGGATGTGCCCACAACCGAGATACATGCCCTTGACTGGAATCGAACCTGGAACCTTTCAGTCTGCAGACCGACGCTCTATCCACTGAGCCAAACCGGTTAGGGCCATTATCAGATTTTTAGAGGCTGATTTCTGCTCCACTAGTATTCAGAAACAGAATATATCCTAGTAGACAGACAAGTCCGATGTTAGCAAAAGGTGTGTATATAGCATGTCTGTTTGGAAGAATTATCACATGAATGATAATTATAAGACTGCAGTTCTAATAGTACCTAAAATTATTGAGTTAGAAATCTATTGTGTAGTCGTGGCCAGCTGGCTCAGTTGGTTAGAGCATCATCCAATACACCAAGATTGTAGGTTCCATCCCCAGTTAGGATACATACAAGATACAAGAAAAAAAACCATGAATGCATAGATAAGTAGAACAACAAAACAATGTTTCTCTCTCCCTCCCTCTGTCTCTAAATTCAAATAATTTTTTTAAAAGAGATCTATTGGGTATATATTTTAAATATGTACAACATGTTAATCTTATGTGCTATCCTTTATTTTAATACCCTCTATAAATTATCATTGGTTCTTCCATCAGTAGAAAGGAGATATAATATTTAGATACAATTGTTATCAACACTATTAGGAAATTATCTTTTATTAAGATTTTCAAATGTATCAGAGTTAAATATATGTACTCCTACATATGAAACTTTTTTTTTTAGCTTATACTGATCATTCACTTTAAGACTTTCTGAAAAGGTAAAATATAAAAACAAGTACCTGCTGAGCTGGAGAAGAGTAGTGTCATTTCAGCTTCATTATTAATAGTGCTATTGTTTTCTATTAACCTTTTCATCCCAGAGCACACCTCCTGAGAGGTGTTCAAAAGAAGAAAGACCTTTTATATTTGATTCCTCTCCTTTGTGTCTACAGTTAAGTTACACAAGCAGGACTAGGAAGAAAGTGAAAGATGTCCAAAACAGAACTCACATTGCCTTGGCCTCTGTTGCTTAAAAATAAAAAGCTTATGATTATGTTAAGCTGGCTCCAACTAGCTTAACAATGGGGATATGGTAAAATGATATAGCAGCATCTTACAGAACTTAATTATAAAGGTATATTCAAGTATCCAAAATGAATTGAAACCAGAGAACCAGAGACTCAATTTCTTCATCCCATCTTATAGATCTTCTGCTTCTGCTATGGAACAGATTTTTCTTTCCAAGTTCATGTGTTAGAAAAATGGCCACCATCAGGGATCCCAAGATTACATCTGAGATAAATTGGAATCCATTTTTATTGGAGTAGGACTCTAGACCAGGGGTGGGCACATGGCCCAAGTTGAATGGATTCATCAATGGGCCAGAAGACAGAGTCATATTAATAGCTGCTTCCATATAATCACATGAGGAAATGAACAATTCTGATCAAATTAGCCAGGTGTGGGGAGGCCAAACAGTTGGCTTCTTTTGCAGAGGTACTGGTAGGATATTAAGTTGGAAATATGGGTCAGAAGCTAAGGAAAGAAAAACCCCAAATCTATTTTTCTGCCCAAATTTGTCTCTAATTCAGATACCAGTTGATTGAAACCATTAAACATGTTGTCAAAAAAAGTAACCGTTTTATTCACATTCTTGCTAGAAATTGAAAAGTTACACAAGGATATTCTTTACAGTTTCATCTTAGAACTCCTATGGCACCAGATGAACCAAACCATCTCCTCAGATCTCTAAGACATATTTGAAGTAGGCTAGAATGCTCAAGACCTGAATAGACTGTGTTCATGAACTCAGATTGCAGTGGTCGAAGAGACAATGCATCAGCAAACTCCATATTTGCTCCCGTATTTGTTTGGTCCTCAGACCATAGATAATGGGGTTTAAAGCAGGTGGGATGACCACATATAAGTCAGCTAGCAGCACTTGGGTGTGCAAAGGCACTATGTCCTGCCCTAGCCAGGCCACATAGATGGATGCCATCCCAGGTAGGTAGTACAGAGCCATAACCACCGCGTGGGAGCCACACGTGCTTAATGCTTTCACCTGAGCATTCTTTGAGGAGAGATTGAAGACTGCCTGGAGAATCAGGGTATAAGAAGCAGCAATGAAGGCCACATCGGAGCCCACGATAATGGAAGAACCAATTAGACTATAAAGGCTACTGGACGTGGTGTCTGTGCATGCTAACTTGGCCACAGCCATGTGCTCACAATAGGAATGGAGAACCATGTTGGAGCCACAGAAAGGTAGATGACTCACCATATAACTTAATGGAGTCATGAATATGACAGCTCTGATGGTGATGGTCATACTCATTCCCAGCATCACTTGAGGCGTGAGAATACTCTTGTAGTGTAGAGGCTTACAGATGGCTATATAGCGGTCAAAAGCCATGACCAGCAGCAGCCCTGTCTCTATAGCTGTGGTTACATGGATAAAATACATCTGAGTGAAACAAGCATTGAAGCTGATGGAGCTGCCTCCTGAGGAGAAGATGCTCACCATCTTGGGCACCACAGAGGATGCCATAACAATGTCCACAGCAGCCAGAACACAGAGGAAGCAGAACATGGGCTCTTGTAGAGTGGAATCCATCCAGATTATGGTCAAGATGAGGGTGTTTCCTAACAGGGCTATGATATACATGGCACTCATCGAGATAGCCAGCCAAAGATGTGAAGATTGCAAACCTGGGATACCCACAAGGAAGAAGGTGGCAGGGGTTTCCGTTGTGTGGTTGTAGGGTGTCCCCAGCATCACAGATGAGACTGTTTTCCTGTTAATGCATAAAATGATGTAAGAAAAGGATGCAATCCTCTGAGATTTACTCCCAGCTGTGGTGTTAAGGAAGCCTGGTGGTATTGTCAGCTCAGAACTAGAAAACGTACATCTGACAAAGTTATCTTGCCCCACCTCCCATCCACCTCATAAGTCTTTGCCTCATTATTCATCATTCAAAGATTGACTGATGGGTTACCTCCTTTGGAAGTCTCTTCGGCTCTACTTCCTCTGCCATTCCATGTCAAAGCTAAATTATGTACCTTCTGAGCTTTCATGGAATCTCACAGGGACCGCTGAGGGACCTAAATTAACAATTCCAATGCTCTACCCTTGACTTTATTGTATTCAATCATATGTGCCTTGGTCATGGACTTATACCTTATATCAAGTTTGTGATACATGGCTGTGGTGTGCAAGTCCATTAAAAGAAGATATGTGTGCTCGTTATAGCAAACAGATGAATGAATGAGAAATCAGAAGAAAGAGTTTTTTATCTCTGTGTGTTCAGTTCCTAATATTTAATATTTTTGAATGAAACAATGAACTTCCTGATATTAAACATGTCATATTTTGTATCCCCAGTATAGTGCTATACAAAAGATGAATGAAACATCCTTCTGGTTAAAAAAAAATGAATTGTTGAATTCATGAAAATCATCAAGGTCATTAGAAAACAACATAATTTTTCATAGGAGATAATAAACTGTCTGGAAATATTTATAATCCTTACCTTTTCTTTACTTCAGCCTGGATTTCCTCATTGAGCTAGGTTCATTTAATAGATTAAATAACTGCAAATAAAACTTTAGGGCTCCTTTATAGATGACCCCCCAATAGGTTTTTATGACCTTCAATATAAATAACTTCGTGGTTTATAAGCTACAAAGACATTCCAAATTACAATAAAGCTTTATTATTTTAGAATTTGTGGGATATGATTGCAAACCATGGTCTTTATTGAACTGGACAAACCACCGCTAACAACAACAAAGCCTAAACATAAGAGATGCCTTATAATGGAACAGACTGAATAAAGTAATAAGCTCTGCTTCATGGTCAGATTAAAAGAACCTTGAGGTGCCCTGGCTGATTTGACTTGGTGGGTCAAGTGTTGGCCTGCAGACAGAGGTGTTCCAGGTTTGATTTAGGTCAGACTCACATGCCCGGGTTGTGGGCTCAATCCCCAGTGTAGGAATCGAGTGTTGGCCTGCAGACTGAGGTGTTCTGGGTTTGATTTCGGTCAGGCGCACATGCCTGGGTTGTGGGCTCAATCCCCAGTGTAGGAGGCAGCCAGTCAATGATTCTCTCTCATCATTGTTTCTATCTCTCCTCCCTTCTTCTCTGAAATTAATAAAAATATATTTAAGTAAACAAAACAAAAAACCTTGATGTGTATAGTCACTGAATGAGACATCTTCAGTGATAGATCATGAGAAGACAAAGGAAAGCTTTTTGATATAGAATGGAAGTGAAGAGCTATCAGGTTATCAGAAATTATTCAGGTTATCCTTAAGACTGCTGTGTGTTTTCTGGATGCCACACACTCATAATTGAGCATCCCTGCTTAGAGGGCTGGAAAAGAGCCTGAGGAACCTTCCACCCACCCCCGACCCCCCACACCTGCCTCTGAGCCGGGATCTCCAGGATCTCCCTCTCCAGGATGGCTGCCCTGTACAAATCTACCTTTCTTCTTCTGTGCACTGCTCATCCCTCCTCTCTGCACTCTGGCAAATTCTAGCTGGTCATATTTTTCATTCCTTTGAGGCTTTTATTTTCCTCATTTTTCTTCTGAATTAATTCTGCTAAGAGGTTCATATATTTTATTAGTCTTTTTAAATGATAGGACATTTGGTTTGTTGATCATATTTTTTTTTATTTCACTCTTCAATCTATTGTTACTGAGAAGTTTCTTCTAAGATCAACAATGATCTCCATCCATGCCCAGTTGCCAATCTAATCATTTCTTTTCATTTTTTTAATTTTACCTGACCTATCCAAAACATTTCCCGTTACTGCCTACTCCTTCAATTTTTTTTTTATTTTACATGCTGTAAAATGCACAAATCGCAGGTATGCAGCTTTATAATGTTTTATAAAGTGAACACACATGACCACTACCCAGAGCAAGATACAGACACAGTTGCTTCCTGGTTGTTAAGATGGTCTTCAGAAAGCTCTGATCAAGAGCTCTCTTAAGACACTTCCAACCCAGAACCAGCCTCTGCCTTCATCCCTGCCGTGACATTCACATAAAAACCTGGAGGGCCAATCACTGAAGAAAAGCTCAGATAAGTCACTGAACTCCAAGAAATGAATCATAGGAGATGTGAGGATTTTTCATCAAAGGATGGGAAATACACAATCTAAAGTAAAATTGTTTAAAAGTAAAGGCAGTAATGCATATTACAGAGCCTTTGTGTTTATGCCTCCCCTCTACAACCAAATAAAGATGCTCCCAATCAGGCCTACTGCTCTGTTTCTTTCCCTATAATTCCTGTGGTCTCTGAAAACTGTCTCTCCATTATACCATGGTGGAACTTACCCCTTTCTCTCTCAGCTTTGAACCAAAATAGTCATATGTCCCCTGCTCTCTCCCTCTCTCCCATCCTCTCATCATTTCCAGAAGGTAATCTTGACATCAGAAGTACCCACCCGACTTGCCCAGACCTTTAAATGGAGTGGAAGGCTTATCTCTCCTTTCTAGGGTGACACTGGCTTTCAGACTCATCAGCCCATCACCTAGTCCCGGGTCAATTACCCACATCCCTGGAGTTTTCTCTATTCAACGTCCTCTGATGTGTCCACATGTCTTTTACTCAAAAGAATGGAGATTTATACAGGATCCTTCAGGGGGAGCTAAAATAGCAGCTTAAGATCAAACATGAACAACAGAGAGTCATGGTGAGAAGTATTGCCACTTTCAAAGATGTCCCGCTGGGAGCCTTCTTTCCTCTTTAGGTTTTCTATCATCCTGCTTTTTCCCTGGACCCCAGCTCCCCTTGGCCTTTGCCCAACAGCCAAACACTATAACTCCTCCAGAGACGGGCTTTTCTCTGTGCTCTGGCCCCTGAGGTTTTCCAGATTGCAGGAGGAGGCAAATGCTTAGTGGATAAAGAATCTTTGTTTCTTCAAGTCCTCAGAGGGTACATAAGAGTGAGAAGAATGTAGAGTGCATCCTGAAAAGAGAAGGAAACACCTAGATTAGTTAGATTTGTGAAAGCCTGATATGTGCCAAGCACCTTGCTGAAGGCTTTTCCCAAAGATGATCTCATTCAATTGTCATAACCCTCTAGAGTAGCTGCCATTATTACATCTTCATTTTATAGATGAAATTGGGGGACAGAGAAGGTCACAAAGCTAGTAAGCCAGAGTCAGGATTCGAATTCTAGCAATCATAATTCATTTTGTTGTTGTAGAACTCTTCACACTGATAGTATACTTAATCTCTCAAAGTCCACTCTGTTGTTCAGTTCAGTTCCTCAGTTCTGCCTGGGAGCTTGAGGTGGGCTTCACTGTTTCAATATTTCTCATGACTCTCTGTTATAAAGTCCTATTTGAATAAATAAGGAAAGTAGAGTGTAAGGGAATCAAGGAAGATAAGCTTTTGAAACTAAGGGAAGGGCAAAGATAGGAAAAGACAAAATATTCTCCAGAGAATAAACCAGAGAAGGTAGAGTTGTAAGGTAAGTACTTGAAAAAGAATGAAAATAAATGAGGCCAGGAAATAAATGAGGTGCATGGTTCATATTTTAAAGGTCATGACTTCTGCCTGGGCATCATCACAGTGCAGAAATAAAGTGAAGAGAAAGAAGCCAACAAGCACAAGATATAAAATTAATTTTATAATGGCAAAGGATGTAGAGACATATGGAAATATAAAGTAGGGTAAGTACTTTAAAAAGTATGAAAATAAATGAGGTCAGGAAATAAATGAGGTGCATGGTTCATATTTTAAAAGTCATGACTTCTGCCTGGGCATCATCATGGTGCAGAAATAAAGTGAAGAGAAAGAAGCCAACAAGCACAAGATATAAAATTAATTTTATAATGGCAAAGGATGTAGAGACATATGGAAATATAAAAAATCAGGAGTTGATGCTACCTGCTCCCAGTGCCCCAGGTCCTCAGGGGAGACATAGTTACTAGTGATGGTGATTGATGAGAGGCCTTTGTTTCCTTTCGGGGGTGGGGAAGTGCTTCATGTCTTCCTCAACCTGACCCATCACATTCCTAAAAATGGAGGTGGGTGATTGAAGTCCAATTTACTAGGCTTATCATCTATTAGAAGGTCATTACTAGTGATGGTGATTGGTGAGAGGCCTTTCTTTCCTTTGGGGTGCGGGGTATGTGGGTGATTAAAGTCCAATTTACTAGGCTTATCATCTATTAGAAGGTCCAGTCTTCAAACCTGTGAGAGAACTAGTCCCCAAAACTGCTGTATTTAAATGTTCAAACTCTTTAGGATAATTCAGATAACAGGCCAGAGCGTAAGCATAAATAAACAACAATGTGGAATATTGATAGGAAAAGTGGGCAATCAGATGAAGGCAAAGGAGGTGCCACCTAAATAGCCCCAGCATGATGTGAAGCTAAACTGTGACAGTGCCAGTGGGACAGATGGACCACTTCCCCCTGGGATTCAGCCTGCCTCCTGCTAAGGCATTAATGGCAGGAGTGGATCCTCATGAACAGGGTGTGGCCTTAAACTCACCACACCCAGTACCATGGCTGAAGGGTTTCAAGAGGAAGAAGAAGTATTCCCAAAAGGGTGGCGACTCAAGATAACAGAAAAATGATACAGAGCAAGGTATTCTATATATAGAAGCAAGAGCTTTCAACATCTTTGATTTCCCACCCTTTGGAATATAATAAGAAAGATTAAATCTACAACTCACTAGGCCAAAGCTTTATTCGAACATGCCACCTAGGCGTAAGGGCCAGTGTCAGGCTTGTATGTAGGTGTGTTTGCATTTGTACATAAATGTACATGCAAGTAAGTGTTGACACACATCCACTTTCAATCACACAGCCCTTTTCGCTCGAGCTGCTTTTCATTAGGACTCCAGGGAAGAATTTCACTTTGTGCCACGAGGACCCAGCCACAATACCACCCAATGAAAACGGTCTACAAGATTTCAGTTGCTTCTTCACAAAAAGTGTCTCTTTATTATAAAAGACGGCCAAATTTTCCATTCAACAGAATAATTCTTAGAGTTGGGTCAGTGTAACAAGTCTCTTGAGGTCAGGATTTAGATAGAGACACATCAATTTCTTACGATCTTCGGCTTTCTGTCATGAGATTCTTTACTTCCAACTCCCTACATGCATCCTTCCTTAAGGTATCCATTGCTAGAAAACTAACCAATAAATACAAACAACATTTAAGTGAGCATTTAATTTGACTTTCCAAATTTATGTTTCTCATATATTTATTTTATATTTGAATGAAAAGCAGCACTAAAAAATGAGAAAGTGAATGTTCACATTGCATCTCATTAAATTTTACTTATATTTTAGTCTTAATATTGAGTATATTTTAAAATTATGGCTTCTGTTACATCTGTTCCATGGTTTCTTTTTTTCATGGTTTTTTTTTTCTTTTAATTGATTTCAGACATAAGGTTCAGGAAAGCTAAACACCATGATGGAATGATGAAATGGAAATTAGAGGAATTAGAAGAAATGTGACTATAATTGGAACCCTAAGTGATCATACATTTTGGATATCCCAGTTGTGGAGCAAGTAATTGGAATACCCAAAGCAAAACCAGAAGTCACTTTTGTGGTTGTTATGTAGTGGTCTTTCCTTTGCACTTGACTACCGTCTTTTGTATCATGCCCAGTGATAGCATTTTGCATACCCAAAGCCCAATAATCTCAAT